TTAAAAATACGAACATACAAAAATACATGCATAAATACACAATATTACACAAATTAATACAGAGCAGTTTTCAACAATGCCACTGTCGGTCGCCACTGTTGAGCGCCCTGTATTTTGAGCTTGGGTTGTCGTGTCTTGCTCAAGGACACACCTCCGGGACCACCCATCTGATCCCCGTGTCACCGACACTTGCTTGACATTCCTTGAGTCTAAACTTACTACTCACTTAGCCACTGGAGCCCCCATTCCACACATTCTGCTATTTTCACAGTCAATAGTAACCCTATACATTCAGTTTCTAGAGAGCAATTGAAGGTCCTTTTCTAAATATTGTGTGTGATTGTGTGTGTGTGTGCGTGTGTGTGTGTGTGTGTGTGTGTGTGTGTGTGTGTGTGTGTGTGTATGTGTGTGTGTAAAATCACTTGGCACTAAAAGTTTTAATAAAACAAAAGTCGTTTTCTATTCAACAAACGAACTCTTTCTGTTTTCCTTCCGTTAAATAATTTTTTTCTGTAATAATTATCTTTTTATTGCCCCTCTTTAAAAATATATGCAATTGATAATTATGTCATATTTGAAGTTTTTGATGGATTACATTCTGACTAAGACTAGTAGCATGTTGAACAAGCGAGGACTGAATGAAACATGTAGATCTAATGCTTCAAGTAAATTTGTGGTTTTGAATAAGACATTTTACAGGCTAAAATAATCCGAGGCATTATTTAATTGCTATTGTATATTTTGAACTTATAAAAAGCCTGATTGATACGATGGTTCTTATCCTCCGTTTACAGAATGGAATGATATCAGCGCTGCCTTTCATTGGATTTTTCCTCATCTTGAACGTCTCTGGTGCTTGTTCTGATTTTATGATGAAAAATAAAGTCTGTTCCACAGTGGTGTTACGGAAAGTATGGAGTGTCATAGGTACGTTGAAGTTTTGCATTTTTCAAAGTAACTAATAATTTGTAAGAAAATGTTATTAGATCAATACAATTCACAATACTGAATAAAGTTAACCTGATTGATGACAAACAAGAGCTATTATCGATTGCGTTTACAATGTTTTTTTATTTTTAATTTTTAAAATAGGTAAATAAAAAGAAGGTACGCCAAGCGAATTTATGCAAAGTACCGACAAAATGCACACATATTAATGAATCAAATGTACTAGAAAGATTCAGTAGACACAAGAGCAATCTGGAAATCTTTCATATTATATTACCAATACGGCTTCCACTGCAAGGTACAAGGGAAAATGATTGTCTTTTTCCTCTTCCAATTTGAAGAAGAAAAATAATATTTAGCAGCGAAAACTGTGAACCCACAAAAGTGGGAAATTTAATTGCCAAACATAAAGATAATTTTAGAAATTAAAACAACAACAGCAACAGCCTAGTTAAAAATCTTGTCTGTATCCCCAGGACTGGTTGGAGCGGCAGTCTCTATCGTAGCCCTTGGCTTCCTGGACTCCACACAACCTGTAGCTGCGGTCACCGTTCTCGTTATAACAGTGTCCATGCTGGGTGTCTGTTATAACAACTGCATCCTTTGTAACATTGCTGATATTGCACCCCGATTTTCCGGAATTGTATTTGGCGTTGTGGCCACCGTGGGATTTCTTGTCGACCAAGCTGTTCCTGTTGTCGTCGGGGTGGTCACTTCACGGGTGAGAAAATGTGTTATATTTCTTAAAAAACAACAGCAACATTTTAGCATGGAATCTGAAAACATAAACTTTCATCGGCACGAATGACCTTTCGGTGAAACCGTCGTTAAACCCGTACCACGCGCACAGCAATCATTTTGATTCAAAGAGCACAGGGATTTAGCTTTATAATGGCTTGTTGAGAAAGTGAATTTTCTATCTGCCAATTACATATTCAATATAACGTTACTGATTTATTACGTCCTGGAAAAGAACATAATATTATTATTATCTTTTCAGCGCGAAGCGATCATTGTTGGGCGTCTATAAAACATATTTTGTAGATTGATATTGTAGTCTTTAATGAATAGCTACGACCTACAATCGCTGAGTTCTGAACTTGCAGTTGCTGTCATATACCATGCTTTTTTAATAACCTGGGCAAGAGACATACACACGAGCATAATACTGTCAGTTCAAGTTTAGAAATGTTTTCAAATCTTTCCAATTAGGAATCCTTTTAAATTCATATTTTACCCCCCATCCCTTTTTTTCGCTTTTGTTTACATCTGCAGCAAACCCAGGAAGAGTGGCGAACCATGTTCTTCATTTGCGCCGGTGTCTATCTTTTTGGCACCATGTTCTACTGTATTTTTGCCTCTGGCCAGATTCAAGACTGGGCTCAGGACAATGATGAGAAAAGACCAATTTTGAATGGAGGGCACACACACAAGGATGAATGCAATGGCTCAGGACGATAAAGCCGCATTTAGAGGGCTTCATGTACATGAATTTCACTCCATTAATTGAAGTTATTTTTTATGTACACAATTATATAAAGCAATGAACATATGCAGAAGGTCTTCTCTTTCAGTTTTTGTCAGAGTCTTACGGATCTTTCAGCACAGTAAGGTCATAAGTGCCGGTGATTAGAGGTGTTACAAGAGAGTAACAACACAAAAAGGGGAAAAGATAAGAACGATAGGTTCTTGATAGGAAAAAAGGAGCAAACCACACCAGAGCACCCCCCAACATCATTAGTAGTATAATATAACGTGCCACACAGACTGGTGTCCATTTTGGGTTACGGCAAAGTACCAAAAGAAACTTTCTAAACTTTTTGGGTAACTTGATCAAAAATGAAAGTGAACAGAGAGCAGCAGGTTTCAGTGTATTCTCATTCTACTATGTTACCTGAAACCACAACTTAAGTGTATTTTTCAAAATTTGTGTACTTTCTATTTTTTTATGTCTCCATGGAGACAGACATAAAAAAATGTGAGGCAGCGCGGTGGAATCAGGCTCTCGTCAATTTTTGGGCATGTAGAGTTATAGGTATCATCTTAAAGTTTATTCACCTGTCTTTATGTGGATGAAAAAATATTCCTTTTTCTTAAATACAAGTCGAGATATTTGCGAAAGAAGGAGGTGGGGGTCACCTGTTTTCAGAGGTAAAATTACTGAGAAAATGGCTGCCAAAGATTAGTTATTTCCTTAGCTTAGGAGTCCGTGGTAACTGAAAATTTACATTTTTGTGCCTTTAATCAACGCTTTTCAGAAAAATCCACGCAGAAATGAGTTCTTTAATGGGCATAAAAGGTGTTGAGCCAAAAAACAAAAATTTGATAAAAATTCACAAAACTGCGAAAAAATGTAAGTTTCTTCACTTTGATTATTTGACGAGAGCCTGATTCCACCACGCTGCCTCACAAATAATAAACCCTGGCAAACTCAGTTTTTACGCAATAACTAACTGTTTAGATATGTTTTAACAGCTTCAAGATCAGGGTCCATTTCACTTGATTTGATCATCCCATGGTTCAAATTTGCGTCATCAACCTTAATCGTCCACGATCCTGTAATGTTGTCACCGCTACCCCGTCCCCTGTCCCCTTCTTCTCTACAATCGAAAAACTTCTGTGCGTTTGTGTGTGAGTATGTGTGTGTATGTGTGTGTTTGTTTGCTTGTTTGTGTGTATGGGGGGAAGGGAAGACTTCTGCATGCTGTGAGTGAGTGTGTGTGTGTATTTGGGTGTTTGTATGTGTTTGTATGTATATATGTATGTGTGTGTGTGTGTGTGTGTGTGTGTGTGTGTGTGTTTGTGTGCGTGTGTGTGTGTGTGTGTGTGTGTGTGTGTGTGTGTGTGTGTGTGTTTGTGTGTGTGTGTGTGTGTCAATCGAAAGATCGCTTGATACGTCTTCATAATAATGACCAGCAAAAGGAAAACTAACTCTGCGATGAATATGGCATAATCCTTGGTAGACTTTTAGAAGCGACTACATAAATTAATGCTTATTTCCCTTTGGTAGTTCCCACACTGAACTAGTTACATGATGCAGTGTCTATTCGGAGGCGGCTCCAACGGAATGTGCCTCTAGACCAAGTTAAAAAAATTAGGGGGGTTACAGGGGGTTTAACCCATAATATTATATTTTTCAGTTAAGTTTGAAATTTTCTTGAAAATAATTGATTTGCGAATCTATTAGTGGCTATATGTTTGATCTGCAGTGAATACGAATAAAACGCAGTTTGACACCCCCCCCCCTCCAAAGCAGTGCATCTGTGTGCGGGGGGTGCGTCTCTGAATAGTGTCTGCCGGTTACATGTATTTGGAACATCATTAATCCGTATTCTCTACTCTTTCTGTTCTACAGATTAACCTTCCATTGAACTCAACATTTCACGATGTCACGGGTCTCTCAGTTACCTAAGTTTAGCTTAACAAAACGGAAGTGTAAACATGTCGGTCTGTATGATCAGATTGGGGCAAGGAACTTTGAACTTAGAGGAAGTATAAGCCCTTCCCAAAGATCAGAACTGAACGTCGATTGGAATGGCACGCTGCAGGACAGAGAAAACAATCACTTTTACTTTCGATTATACAGTTTGGTGGCTGCCGAGATCGGTAAGTCATTTCGTTTCTTAGCGTAGTTTTAGGTTTGTTTTAATGGTGTAACTGTCTTGCTCTTCGATTGGAGACTACAAATTTATGAATTGTGTGTATATCACAGTTGAGTCACATTGTCGCCGTCCTTCTTTGTCTTCCTTACGGTTAACGTACTAATTCGCTCTATAAGATAAGATGGGACAGGATAACATAAGATAATACTTTATTATCCCAGAGAGAAATATTTCTTGGTTGTACAGGACCGCAAAAACGCATGCAGGTATGCATAAAAATTAAAATCCAATATAAAAAGAAAAGTAAAGCTGACAAAATGTACTTATCACATCAGTTTCATCATTCAACCAAGACCTTTTGAGTTTAATAGATACATATTCGAAAGAGCAATACAAAATTGATGCTTATTCTGACAATACCCTTATGCTAGATGGTGAAAAAAAAAACTTCTTTTATATCTTTCTTTTTTTCTTTGTTTTTAGAGGCTCATATCTGTGTGATCTTACAATTTGCCTGGAAAGGGGTATGACAGGTCGTTTATAATGCTTTCTAAACATCCCTTTTATGCTTGTGGTCTTATACATTTCATCAATTCTAGCAAAGTCATATCCAGAGATCTCGCTGTATTTCATAATGGTCAAGAATGGTTATTTACACCTTGGAGACATTAACTGACCTCAATATTCACTTCTCAAGTCTGGACCAATTAGAGGCAAAGAGATCTGCCGTGCTATGGAAGAAGCGTGCGTTGAGGGGATGGGTGTGAGGTGGTCATGATAAATGGTGGACTGGTATGGGTTTAACGCCTCTATCAACACTTGTAGGTTATATTTGAGGTGGGGCGCCTACGAGTTTAAATGTCCATATTAAAAAAGACAGAGCCAAATGGGAATTTCGTATAAAGTGCCTTTCCCAATGACGCAACGTCGGACCAAGCCTGGTTGTGGGGCTCAGAAGTGAAGCCACCGAGACTGTACTTTACGGACATTACATAGGCTTCCTGTTGAGAAAAGAATTGTATACAAGTTGGCCACCATATGTCACAAATGTTTGAATGATAATGCACCATCATATTTGTGTCCCTGCCGGTCAATATCAGTCATAAATTTCAAAACTAAGTTAACATAATTTTAAAAAACAATCACCTTTCCCTACCAGTTAACCCAAGAATGAAGTAAATATGACAATATTTGACGAAAATACATAACTTTTAATTGTCAGAGGTGAGGAAACAAGAAAAGGAGGAAATGGCCTTCAAAGTTGAGCAACATATTTCCATAGCGATGGGGGTCTTAGAATTGAGATAGAGACTTGAAATTTAGCAGTTATCTTGGCTATGCCACTACAAGGTAACTTTCGAAAGTAAAAAACTATTCATTCTCAGAGAAAAAAACTTATGGACTAAACAAAATTTCAACGAAAATGGACTTCACGTCAAAAGCAACAACATATTATTAGCATTATACCAGGTACCATGCAGACACTAAATCGTCAAAGTAGCTGTATGTCAAATTCTTCTGTTTCATATGAAAGGCCTATGTCTCCTGAATATTTTGGTACCATACTTTTACCTCTCTGTCAATGTTTAAGAGAATGGCAGCTGTTTTAATTTTACATAATAATAAAATATTGCTGAAGTCGTTAACTGGCTGCAACCCCACGTTTGACAGATAGTAAAAGAGTACCAAGAGCACCAAACATCTCTACATTAAAAGAGTATAATCACTATAAGATAGAGATGAAGTCTAACATTTTTCAAGACTGTGAGATCTTTACAAATCAGTATTCTATTGCCTCAAACACGATGATCTGTCGTTATTTCAATAAAAACATAGAGCGTTGTCTCGGCCGGCGTCGCACCAGCCCTCACATCGAGCGAGTCGGCTCAATACTGTAGTGTACTGAGTGCTCCCGGTAGTTTCGCAGAAGGATTCATGCAAAATGATTCCAAGCCTATGATTTTATTCTAATAGAAAAAGAACTGTTCTTTCTATTGGTACCTTTTTTAGTCGGTATTTTACAAATTTCGTGTGAAAAATGATCTTTGAAAACTTAGACCCTTTTTTCCCCCAAGGTTTTCTATCTAAACGCCAAAGGCCAAAAATAATAACCACGGGAAACCATGTTGAAAGCTGTATAGTTCTCCGCAAATGAAAAGACGGTATTTAATCATCAATCTTCCTGCAAAGCAATCAAATGCATGGGTGTCAATTTTGAACCGGGGGACCTCACATTACGACCGTGAGGGGCTTCCCTTTCCTCGACGATTCAAATACCCGGATATACAAACAACTTACACTATTATAACAAAGAAAATCTGAACTTTTTTAAAGTGTTCAGCACTTGGTGTTTTATAGGAAAAGAGCAAAGAAACGAGATCTGAATTACCCCCATTTCCCCGAAACCACGCGCTCGGAAGGCCGCGAGTCGGCTTACGTGCCGTGTTTACACTTCCTGATTAACGTTTGCAATAGCACCATAAACACATGAGAGTACACACACACACACACACACACACACACACACACACACACACACACACACACACATGCACACAAATACACAAACACACCAACACACATATACACACATGCACATAGACCGCCTCGGTGGCCTATTGGTAAGGAGTCCGCTCTGAGAGATCTAGAAGAAGGTTAATTAATCCTTTAAAATCTCTAAAATACTATAAAACGAATTTTAAAGTCAATCCAAGAGTAAAACTGAAAGATTAACAGACGATATCAGCTAGTAGGGAACGCCCACACAGTCAGCTGTTTACGTAAACAAGCTTGAAGTGAGCTAGAAGCTACCGTTTTTAATCCGTTTTACCAATCAGAGTTGTTTATATTTCAGACCATTCATGCTTGAAAAGGGGTCAAAATCTAGAAAAAGTTGCGAATGAAGAACGTTGGAGCAAAGATTGTCCACTAGTGGAGAATCTTTAGTGGA